ACACACCTCTCACACGACATGTGACATCGATGACACACCTCTCACACGACATGTGACATCGATGACACAACCGAGAAGTTAAAACAGAGAGCGACGTAAAATCGTCTTTTTACGAATGATGTTACTAACATCCTCGGGGACACGGCGGTTTTACCTCGTTTAGACATCGTTTGTAAATTCGCCCGCGGCAATCGCGACACACTTTCTAATCAACTCCACGATTCTTCTCCAAGCTAAAAAACACACTAGCAGCCTATCACCTTACACAGGCCACTTCTCAAACCCAAATTTAAAAAGTGCATAAAAAATTTCCGATTGACTACAAACTGATTGTCAATAAAGATAAAACACAACGCTCGGCCGCGCGACAAAGTAAGTTTCGCTCACCTTTAAACCACGGAGGATCTGATAGACGAGAAACTGGACGTGGTCGTCGGTCAGCTTCTGTGTTTTGATGATGTTGTTCAAGTCCGCGCCCATCAGGTGCGTGACGAGATACCTGCAAACGTCAACAAACACACGAGGCAGGTGAGCGAGGGAAGTGGTCGGGAGTAGAGGGGATGCAGCGTCCCTACGTCGCACCTGCGACTGCAGGGTGCGAAATTAACGCGAGTCCGGAGTCAAACACTCCCTGATTTACTGTCGGACTACCTGATTTGTCATATGCAGGCGTCCGTGTGACTCCCTGAAAATTCTGCTATACTAACTAGTTCGTTCCGGAGCACGGCCTCGCGGAATTACCGTATTTTTTCAGCAAATATCCAAAGAAAATTTGGCAGACATGCAACCGCATGAATCTTCAAAATAAGCACATGTTATTGTTAATATCTTTAGTTTTGAACTTCAGACTGCGGACTCCCTCATTTCGCTGCAGACTCCCTCTTTTTGAGGACAGGGAATCCGTTGGACTCCCTTGTTCGAAAGTTAATTTCTACCCCTGCGACTGTCATACATCCTCTCACGTTAATCATCGCATAACACGCTCGTTCATAAACGCAGCACAAAGCTACACCGCGATCGCCTCCGTTAATTAATAAAACATCGTTAAGAATGTTAGTAACGGGCAGTGACGTAACCTAGGGGGCGCCGCACTCACACTTCTGAAAAATGCTCCAGCGTTGTGTTTGGCGTGAATATGTCCAGGAGTCCGATAATCTGAAAAGCGAAGAGAAACCTCTGTGTTGTGTATCGAATGCAGTTGTACGCACGCACCGAATACATGCATGTTCTCACATACATGTTCTCCGCCTTTTAAATTGGGTTTCCATTGATTTCACTCAGAAATAAATGCCTACAGCAGAATGATTACCGATTAAAACAACGTGTGCAGTACGCATATATGCAGTATAAACGCACAAAATTATGATTTTAGCACTGGAATTTTTTCTCACACATTATGTGGACTGTGCAGATATTTAAGCTTAATGTAATTATCTGTAATCAATAGCTACTGGGACTAAATTAACTGGAAATTTAACGAGCATTAAGTAAACCTAGCCTAATGAATTTTCCCTGTATCTAAACATTGATCTAGCTTGGTTATAAAGTTAGTTGCAGGCCCGTAGCCAGGGGGGGTTCGGGGGGTTCGTTCTTCGGGGGGTTCGAACATTCCCCCCCAAGCAAAAAATATATTTTTTTTGAAAATTTGCAAGAATTTCACCTCAGGTCGCTCCATTTTAGTGTAATAATTGCAAAATCT